AGGGGCTGCAAGCTGACTTGACGCGGACGCTGACGCAGCTACCTGAGGAGGCTCAGTAGTTAGTGTGTACAGACTCGACCCAGGCCGACGAGTGAACGTGGCCAGGTGACGGCCCGTCCGTGTACACGTGCAGATCGCCACACGCTGACCCCCAGTAGTGGTGGTAGTGACCATCGCATCCTAGAGGGCAGCGGTACTCACCAAGTTCGTAGAGAACGAGGGGAGGTGAATACCTGACAGTGAGCCAGACGGAACCGCCGGACACGGGAGAACAGTGGTGGAACGTGCAAGAACTGGGCCCCCGGAGAGGTCAGCCAGTCTGACTGCAACCGGTGCAGGAAGTGGTATGGGTGTGGTACTGTCGCAAAAGAAACAGCGGGAAGCACCTGAGTCAAGTGTCAAGGTGTGCAAGGCCTCAACAGGCGCAGAACCAGAGAGAGCAGACTCACTAGCACCTAGAGCAGCAGCCCCTATACCTGGGTCGGGAGGCATACACAGGTAACAATCACCCTCAGCACTAATAGTCAATGCATACATGGTAGCAAGGAGAGCATCATAATCAAGAGCAAAGATATCCACGCCCTGCCTAAGCAGCTCTGCCCAGTGGGGGAGCTCAGTCGCGTCGGAAAACTCTGCGCGAAAAACGTCGTCAAGACGGGAGAAGCAGCGGTTTTGGGTGTGAAGCTTCCCGCATGTCTGACCAGTGCGGACACCTGTGCGAATGACATACGGGCAGCGCACACCACCCCCAGACGCCCAACGCTAAGCAAACCACCCACGAAGCTGCTGGGGAGAAGGGGTATCGCTCGGACGCTGCTGCTGCTGCCTCTGGCCACCGCCAGAACCTCCCCTCTGAACAGCTCCACCTCGACCGCCACCACTGGTCCTGCCACCACTCCCACTGCAGCCACCACTGTCGCCGCCACCACCCGCACTGCCGCCACCACCGCCGCCACCACCGCTGCCACCAACGCCTCCACTCCCACCACCACTCCCACCGCCACCACCGCCACCTCCACTGCCTCCACCGCCCCCACCACCGCCTCCACCGCTGCCACCCCCACCACCCTGGCCCCCCTTGCCCCTGCCGCTGCGGCGCCTCCCACTAGGAGCAGACGCAGCTCCTACCTCCTCAGCACGAAGGTAGTCAACAGCAGCAGCAGAAGCGACTGAGGGGACAAGGGGGGAGGGGGAACACCCCTCAAAGAAGGGAGTGCGAGGAGTGCCACAAGAAGCGCCTACAGCAACTATGCTAGTCTCAGCTGCAAGGAGGTGCTTCTCGAGCAGGTCGACAGTGAGGTATGTGGGGTCACGAGCGAGAAGGAGGTCCCTGACTTCGGTAAGAGAGTCAGGGAGGCGGGTGACGATGAAGTAGAGAGTGATGTACATGGGAGGGGGGTTTGGCTAGAAACTCGGCGGGAAGCGCAGCTCGGTAGCGGACGTCACTAGTGCGAAGGTGAGTGACGAGGTCGGCAATTGTGGCAAAGGCGGACAGCTCGGGGAATAGGTAGGGCAGTATAAGGCGGCCTAGAGCAGCAGTGGCAGGGGAGGAGTAACGAGCGACTGCAGCGTCGTACATGGCTCTAGCAGTCTTGTGCTGGCCAAAGTGAGCACGTTCGGCTAACGGCAGGTGGTTGCGAACGGCTAGGCGAGCAGCAGCGTCATGGGTAAGCCACTGTGAGCGAGTCGCGCTGTCAGCTGTGGCGGAAGGGGCAAGAGAGGCTCCAGACGTGAGGTCAAACAGCGAGACACCGTCCCTAGAATCGCTCAGTAAGTACAGCTGTAGGTCATCTAGCCACGTGTCGAACTCTATCGGACGGCCCTCTGCATCGAACGAGAGGACACTGAGAGTAGCCATCGCGGGCAAGGCAGGTGAGCGCGCTAGTAGCAGGGCAGTGTGCAGGCAGGGCAAAGCAGGGCGGCGCGCAGGCAGATCAGGGCGGAGCGGCGGCTGGCTGCGCGCGGGCAGGGCAGGGCGGCGGCCAGCAGTAGTAGTGCAGCCACAGCAGTACAGGCGGCAGTAGGGCAGCAGGGACAGTGTGCCGGCGAGGTGCAGGGCCAGTGCAGGTGCGCGGGCGGCAGGGCAGGTGCGCACGGGCCTGGCGCGGGCTGTACGGACTGCGCGCGGGCCTGGCGCGGGCTGTACTGGCTGCGCGCGGGCCTGGCGTGGGCTGTATGGGCTGCGTGCGGGCCTGGCGCGGGCTGTACGGGCTCCGCGCGGGCCTTGCGCGGGCTGTACGGGCTGTACGCGGGCGGCGCGCGGGCTGTATGGGCTGCGCGAGGGCGGCGCGCGGGCTGTACGGGCTGCGTGCGGGCGGCGCGCGGGCTAAACGGGCTGCGCGTGAGCGGCGCGCGGGCTGTACGGACTGTGCGCGACAGGGCAGGGCAGCGGGAAGGCACGGGGAAGGGCAGGGCAGGGCAGAAATTCGGGCAGGAACAACACTAAGTGGTGGGCCCTCTAAAAAAACGGTCCTTAGGAAGGACTCGCTCTATACCATGTCGAGATTAGCTAGGAGGAATTGGTCATGATTAGGTCAAGGGAGGGGTACAACAACAACATCGAGAGAAATTCTGTACCCCCTAGTGCTAACACCCATATAGCCTACATAACATATAAGCATATATGTTTTGACAGAGCGTGCTTGGCAGCAGGTGACGATGGACTTCGTCACGGGGTTACCGGCTGGAGCAAGTGGGAACGACGCGATCCTGGTCGTCGTCGATCGGCTGACGAAGATGGCACATTTCGCAGCCTCCAAAAACATTAATCACAGCCGAAGAAACAGCCCGCCTCTTCATCGCCACCATCGTTCGACTACACGGGATACCAGCGGCGACCATCAGCGACCGCGACACAAAATTCACCAGCAACTTCCGGCGGAACCTATGGCAGCAGTTCGGCACGCGACTACAATTCAGTTCATCATACCACCCCGAAACTGACGGACAGACAGAACGGACAAATCAGACCATGGAACAGCTAATCCGAGCCACGTGCGACGACCCGACCACGTCGGAACAGCAACCGCCACTCATCGAGTTCGCATACAACAACTCGCCCTCCGCAACGACCCAACAGTCACCTTTCTATCTGAACTACGGACAAGACCCCACAGTACCCATGACCCCGAATCTCGACAACCCGGTGCCACGCGCGCAACAATTCGCAGAAGTATTACAGGCAGCACGAACCCGAGCAGCAGAAGCAATAATAAAATCAAACGTCATCGCTAAGCGCAACGCCGACCGCCACCGCCGCCCTGTCACTTACCAACCCGACGACCTGGTATAACTCGACACTCAAAACCTCCGTCTACCCATCACTCCGAAACTTTGCCCCCGATATTGCGGGCCATTTCGCATCAGCCACATGATCACCCCCGTCACCGCCCACCTCATCCTCCCTGCTGACTAGTACGTCAGTCCGTCGTTCTACGTCTGCCTGCTTCGCCCATATGCCCCATCCACCAGCCAACTGCCTCGCAACCGCCTCGCTAGCATGACACGACCGCCGACAGAGCCAATCATCACGCCCGAAAAAATACTGAGCCACCGAGTTCGTGGCCCACGGGGAGCCCGAAGGATCGAATTTCTGATCCGCTGGAAAGACCGCACGCCCACCGAAGACAACTGGGTCCCCCTGGATAGAATCGAGAACCACCCTGTCCTCACCGAGTACCTGCGCAGCCGAAATTTTCGGGATCTACATGCGCTCTCGTAAGGAAGGCCTCCTTAGGGAGGGGGGTAGTGTAAGGAAACTTCATTTTCCTTACTTCACGCCCCTGCTTACCGCGTACATGACCATTCCCGCCACCAGCACCCAACAGTGAAACGTTACCCGCTCGCGACACTCGCCTCGACCACGCCTCCCGCCACTGTTCACAATGCGACCCAACCAGGGCTCTTGCTAGGATTTAAGTCCATATGAAAATATAAGAAAAAAAAGCGTTCCGTCTGACGTTCAGACGGGGGATTCTTTCTAGTCTGATTTTTCAGACGAATGCGAAAGCCATGTCTGATTTTTCAGATGAAACTAGTGAACTTGTCTGATCTTTGAAAACGTAGTTATGAAGTGTTTCGCTTACCATAAGATCAGAGCGACACCACCTGGCGGGTGGGGAACAGGGGGGGCGGATGTTAGGCTCCGAGGGGATTCTAGGGAAGGTTGGGCTGATCGTAGGAAGGGAGGAGGGAGGGGGTGGTAAGGGGCGGGCGAGGGAGGGGTTGGGCTGCGAGAGGGACAAGGGGGAGCTGGGGCTAAGAGGGGCAGGAGCATCGTGGGTTCGTGAGACGTGGCGGGGACTTCGGGGGAAGCTGGGTTTCGTTTGGGTCGCTGGTGCGAGGGACTAAGGTGCGATAGGGCTGAAGAGGTGGGGTGGAAAGGGGTGGGCAGGTGTTTTGGGCTGGAACGTGGGCGGGGAGGGGCCTGTTCGCAACTTTGTGTCAGACGGAAATGTACGCACTATCTGATTTTTCAGACGAAATAGAACGTCGAGACTGTTTTTTCAGACGAAACAAAATTGCTGGTCTTATGGTTCAGATGGAGTAAAATCGTTTGTCTTGAAAATCAGATGAAACGAAAAATGTAGGTCTGATTTTCAGACCATCAGACCAATCTGGTTTGATAACGAGGGCCCTGGACTCAACCCCACGGTTCGGTTGGTAACCCGCGCTCCGGATCTCCGCCTCGACATTTCCCAACCTCGGCGCTAGGCTCGTAGCGCACCCCAATTTCTCGCGTTACCGTTACCACGCTAGCTTCGCTATATGTTCTTCGCTCATGCCTTCGCTCAATGTATTGTTTTGCTTCGATGGTACAATTCTCGCTCGCTCGCTCAATTGCACTCGTAACAGCAATCAAGAATCCTCACACGACCAGATGTTTGTTGTGGATGTCATGCCACCCCAGATCTACTCTTTGTCACGCCTTCCAACAGGGCATCAGTCCATGTCAGCAGATTCTAGCCAACCACGCTGCGTTTTTCAGCCCGCTGGCTGAAATGGCCCGCAGTCCCAACGTGTCCCGCGGGGACCTGGGAGCTCACCATGGGTGCATATCGAGATTGGTGAGTTTCGAGTCGTCTTCACTCTCTCTCGACTCTCAAATCTTGATTCGAGTTTCAAGTCCCAACTGCGGCCGTGTTCTGCAGGCGCATCAGCCTGATGCGCCAGAGGCTCGGCCTGATGCGGACATTGAGACATTGAATGACATTGAGGTTCGGAATTGAGACATTCAATTTCCTAACATTCAATTTCGACTGCCAAAATGTTACATGTTTCTAGGAAGTTACAGCGCAAAATTTTAAGGGTGCCAACCAATAAGGGTTTAGGAAAAAACAGATTGACCAATGAGGGTGCTCCGCACCAGCTTATGCGCGCATCATGCGACCTCGAGAGGTTGCATGATGCGCGCATCGGTGATGCGTCAGATTGCTAGGAAAGGAACCTTCTTGGATAGCGATAACATTTCAAACTTCGAGGGCCAAAAAGGCTGTTCGGCAGCCATGCGCTTATCGCGAGCCTCGATAACCTGTGACAGGTTATCAAGGAAGAATCCGGGAACCATGTTTTACTGTAGCCATCCGGGCTGATGCGCCTGCAGAACAAAGCCTGCACTTGCGAGGACCGAGTCATTCTGACATTTTCCTGATTACTGGATTTTTGCCTCCTTTAGTTCGGACGAAGTTTCTCTCCCTAGTTTCCTTCTTAGCCAACGTATTTAAACCATCCAGCTCGTTTATTCCAAGGGTTTTATCGGTTAGGGAGGCGAGTTTTTCACGGGGATATGGCAAGGTAGGCTGGCATGAATGGCGCTGACGTCAGCGGCGCGGAGCGACCCGGCGCAAGCGAGCAGCCGCCGTCGACCGCGCCGTCCTCGTCGCACGCGCTGTCGTCGCCCGGGGCCACCGCCGCGGCACGCCCCAAGGTGAGGGCTCGCTCCCGCTATCGCCCTCCCGCCTCTCCTTTTTTAGGTGGCGGTTGCCACGGTGGCGCATCTGCGGAGGTGGCGGCAGTTTTTCCTTTCTTTCTTGCTGATTTGTTCTAAGCTCTGTTCAGCAAGTGGTCAAGTGAGTTGGTATGTTTTTGGGCCCGCCCCTCTACCGTCGCCGTCAACTCTCCTCCCAACGCTCGACATCCCTCTCGCCGACGCCCATTGGGCGCTGTCCCTCTTCATCTCTCCGCGTCCTTCCCACCGTATGCTTCTCCCTCCTCCTCCCCCCCCCCCCCCTTCAACCCCCCCCTCCCCCACCTGCCCGTGCTTTCATCCGCGCGTGCCGCAGCCGAATCCGTTCGGGGCAGCGCGGCCGCGCGAGCAGGTGATAGCGGAGCGCAAGGGCGTGACAGAGGCAGACCTGCTGCGCGAGCTCGCGTCCAAGGAGTAGCGCCCCACCGTGAGTCGCTTCTTCACGCGCCTCGGAAATAATAGTGGCACCCCGCGGTGGGCGCACGCATGCCTTACCGTTTTAGCTCGACCAGCTGACTCATCATATATAAGTCGCCGTCCCCCCCGGTGCAAGACCAGTGTATGGATAGTGAATCAGTTGAAACAAACGCATTACACGGAGCACGTGGAGGATTAAATCAAAGAGGGGGAGCGGGGACGAAGGAAGAGAGGAAAAAGGGGAGACGAGAGGAAGATATAGGGTACAGCGTCTGAGAGGGAATCGAGAGCGAGTATATTAAGGTAGAGAGATGGAGTGGGAGCGAGACGGCGAGGCTGGGCGCTGCCCGGGGAGCGCGTCGTCCCTCCTCGCTGCGCTCCATGCCGCCCTCTCGCCTCGCCTCGCCTCGCCTCGCCTCGCCTCGCCTCGCCTCGCCTCGCCTCGCCTCCCACCCCCACCCACCTTACACACACCCCCTCCCCCTTCTCCATCAATCCCCTCTCCCCTCTTTCCGTCCTTACCTCCCCTGCCCCCTTTTCCCCTCCCCTCCCCCCTCCCCTCCCCCCCTTCCGCATGTGCTGCTGTCGGAGGAGAAGGCGGCGGAGGCGGAGTTGGCGTTCGCGCGGGACAGGTTGGCGCGCGCGCCGCCAGCCAAGGACGCGCGGCGCGCGGAGCTGGAGGGGGAGGTGAAGGCGCGGGAGGCCACGCTGCAAGAGCTGCTCGCGTCGTTCGAGGTGAGACGCGCAAGAGGCCGGCGAGAGGCGAGAGGTGAGAAGTGTGGCAGTGCTTTTGAGAATTTTTACAAGCAACTCCAACAGAGGTGTGGCGGTGAGCTGCTTGCGTCGTTGCAGGTGCGAGGTGTGGCGATGTTGTAGGTCTCGCCTGTCCCTTTTCTCCCCTCCTCCCTCACTCGCTCACCCTCAATCGTGTCGTGAGAGGTGAGTGGTGAGAGGTTGGGCGGTATATTGAGGTATCCCCGTTTGCGGTGACACCTGCTTGCTTCCCTCTCTCCCCTCCCTCCCTCCCTTCTTTTCCTCCCTCCTGCCCCTCCCGTCCCTCCCGTCCCTACTGCCCTGTTTTCTTCCCCCCACCTCCATCTCCGCCCACAAGCGGTACTCACCTCGCCGCATCACCACGCCACCATGCCCCGTGCCGATGTGTTCCTCATTGCGCTCCCCGCCTCTCCCCTCCCGCCCAAACCCCCCCCTCCGCCCCCCACCCCTCTGTCCCCTTTTCCTTTGTCTCCTCGCGCTCCGCCGAACCCCCCTCCCCCTGTCCCCGCGCAGAAGATGGCGATGGAGAAGCAATCAGCCGGAGGGGGAGGGGGGGCCAGGCGCGGAGCGGAGTGGGGAGGGGCGGGGGCAGTAGCAAGGGGAGGGGGCCATGCGCATGCTGCCACTAAGTCATACGGGGGGGGCTTTGGGGGGAGGCGGGAGAGGGAGGCGCATGGGGGGGAGCATGGGGGCGCGGGCAGCTACGGGGATGCGTGGGGGGGGGAGGAGGAGGGCGGAGAGGTGGCGGCGGCGGTGGAGGCGCGTTTTACAACTGTGGCGAGGTGAGCTAGTGGGGTGCCTTGGCCGTGGCCCACACGGCAGTGACCACCCATGCTGCAAACGCCGCCCTGCACCACATGCCCCCCTGTGCCCCACCTCGCCCTCCACTTCCTTCTCTCCTAAGCTCTTGCGCCGAACCTGTTGCACCCTAAACCTGGTGTGCCCCTCATTCTCTGCACCAACCCCTCAACCCCACCGCCTTGCACCCCAACCCCCACCCCACTCCCAACCTAAACCCTCGCACCTCACCCCCTTGCACCCCCTCTTGCCCACCCCACCCCTCCCCCTAAACGCTCCCCTCCTCCCCCCCCCTCTTCCCCAGGTGGGGCACTTCTCCCGGGAGTGCCCCAACGCCTCCGCTGGCACAGGGCCGCACTCAGGGGGGTACGGCAGCAGGGGGGGCGGAGGGGGGCGCGGGGGCAGGGGAGGCGGGTGCTACAACCGCGGGGAGGAGGGGCACTTCGCACGCGAGTGCCCCCAAGGCTCCTCGTACGGCCGATCCTCCAGCTTCGGCGGCGGGTACGGCGGAGGCGGGGGCGGGTACGGCAGGAGCAGCAGCGGCGATGGGTATGGTGGGGGTGGTGGGGGGTATGGTGGCGATGGCGGTGGGTATGGGGCCGGAGGGGGGAGCTATGGGGGAGGGTATGGGGGGGATGAGGTGGGAGGGGGATCGCGGGGGTATGATGACAAGACAGGAGGGTGGAGACGGGGCTATGGCAGTGGCTGGGGGGACCATTGAGAGGCGATTTGGTGTGTCTTGGTAACGTTTTGAAGATTTTATAACGGCAGAGAGGTGATTGGAGTTGAGTTGTGGCTGGATGCGCACTGGCTGTACCAACTTGAATGCATACCGCTTTGAAGCCATTGTTAAATTATATTGCATATCCTATTTATAACTGCCTACAGCTTGCTGCTAGTGTATTAGTTAGTTATTAGAACCTATTGCTGGTGGTGTACCCTTTTGTCTTGTCTAGCCTCTTCCCTCTCCTATATCTTGTACTCTTGCCTAATATTAAAGCCCTCTTCTTTTGGCCAACTTCCCTCTCCATGGTTCTCCTTGCTAAACCTCTCCTAAACCTAAGTACAGCATAATCTCCTAATCTTAACAGTCATGCATACCGGATTGAGTGTACTGCATTGCAACTAACTAGTGCAAGTGATATGGTTCTGGTTTGACTAGATGGAGGACTGGTTTGGCAGGCGTGTGCATGGAGGTTCAATTCAATGTGCGGATTGTGTTCCGACTGGTAGAGATTTATATGAGCCTGAACTGGCTCCAGCCTTGTATGCCCAGTCACCAGGATTCACTTCACTGATTACAGAATGTGGTGAGTGAGCCGTGCTCTGCTCATGAAGGATGCAGGCTGGGCAGGAGGTACTACTAGTGGTAGGAGGATTTCTTGATAACAAATGAAGGTCCATTAGGCTCCAACACACACAACATGGAATGCAAGGGGCTCAGGCGGAGCTGTCATGGGCAAGAATGCTGGCAAGGCAAGGCAGGTCAAGTCAGCTTGCTCATTGCCACCATTCCTGCCCCGACCCGATCTGCACATCGCACATGTGCACTACACATTCTAGCACTTGCACTACCCACCCACTTGAAGGGGATCACAGCACAGCAGCACCATAGCACTTCGACCATTCCAGCCCAGCACCGCCACATCACACAGCAGCAGCAGCGGAGGGGAGTTTGACTCCCATGAGCTGCCCGCCCCACATGACGCCCGACGCGCTGCTTCCAGCCAGCACAACATATCCGCTCACCGTGCTGTTCACACTGCTGCCCGCCCCAGCACCTGGAAAACCACCTGAAAAGCCACCTGCGGGCGGCTGCCGCCCGCCCTGCTGCGGCGTCCCCCCCTGCATCGCGAAATTCCTTGTGGGCCTGAAATGTACACGGTAGCTTTTCCTGCGGAAAAGCTTCGGAAAAGCTTCGGGAAACCTTCGCCGCGCACATTCAGAGCTAGGTGGCCAAGTGACTTCACTGTGACAAATGGCCATCACTATGACGCAACCATAAAGTGACGAAAAAGTTGCTTTCGCCACTCTACAACCAATCACACAATCACCCACGTGGAGTTCCGCGTGGTACAACGGGTTTCATTGTGGTTCACCTTTCCAAGAAAGAGACGAAGTCCACGAAATGTTACACTGATCTGACCGAAAGTTTGTACATTCGAGAACCAAACCACCAATCAACAAGCAGCGCGACAATCTCAAGCCAACGAAATTAGCGAGGAACCAAATTGTCGCCAACGTTTGTTGCGTGGTACCCAACCAGCGGACGTTTTTTAACCAATCGAGAGAGGAACCAAACACTTTCCCACCAATCAACACGATTCCTTATCTCCACGTCAACACCTCACCCACCACCTCTAGAACCTTCTCGAACCATTTCTTCTCGACCACTTCTCAACCATTTCTTCTCAACCTGTTTCTCGACCATTTTTCCTTGCTGTTCAATCTCATCCCTCGCCCATTTCTCCCTTCTCCAGATCTATCCGCCATAATTTGCTGACGGAATGACGCTCTAATGTGCCTCATGGTGCCATGCTGTGCTTTCGGTTGAGAACTCCTAAAGCTAATTTTGTATTATTCATTTCTTTTTGTGCCGTCGGACTGTTTGGTGCAGGTACGGTTCAACTATTAATGTCAATCGTCTTACTACCGCACAGCGGATGGCGCACATCGTGTTGCATGTTCCGGTAGGTACGTCGCAGCATGTCTCGCTTTTCCGTTTATTCCACGCTGCCATGTTGTATGCTTTTATCGAAGTAGACGCTCTTTCCCAACGCAACAGGTCTCGCGCGCTTACTATGTGGTGCACATAATGGATCTGTAAGGTGAGGATTGTCGAACGTATTATATGTGCATTCTCTCTTATGTCCTGTGCGCAGATGTGTCTTCATTACCGTCACCATGCCATGCCACGTTATTGTATGTCAGATAAAATCGCATACAGGACAGGTAAGTAGCCAGTAAGTAGCCTCTCGTTTGGATTACTTGCAATGTTGACTCCCTGTTGTGCTGAGTACACTTGAACGTCTGTTAATCTAACATCAGATTTTGCAGGTATCCTGGCTAACATCAGTTTTTGCAGGTACCATGGCCAAGAGGGAAAAAAACTACTTCGCCTTTGTTGAGATTTGATGTTTCTGTTTTTACGTGTGTTTCAGAACTCCAGGCTCAAGTGGTTGAAAGGGTAGCAATGTTTACTTCTGTTAAAGTACATTCATTTAGATCATTTAGTTGTGCCAGATTATGTTGATTATGGTGTTAGTGCGAATTGTCAGGTCTGATGTATTATGTATAAATTTATAAAAACAATATTTCTCCATGTACACAATTTTCACAATTTGTATTGCATGCGCCAATATTCGTCTCGAAATCGTATTGGTCCACGTGGCATTTCTGTCCGCTAATCACCATGACAGCTGGCAGGAAATATCTTAGCACGTGGCCTTCAGGCGTCCACGTGGCAAAGGGGTGGCAAAGGGGACTAAAAGCCCAAAATCTTTAGACAAATGTCACTTCTTATGTCACCTTTTAGTTGTGTTGTGGGGTTGCGATATGGCCGGGGCCGCGGGCCAAAGCGCGCATCAGCATCCTCCCCACCCTCGCCACGTCCAGCCCCATGCGCCTGCTGCCGTGCTCGCTCCGTGCGCCCCCCGCGCCCCTGGAACTGCCTCCGCCGTTGCGCCCCCCGCGGCCGCCGCCGTTGCTGCGCGGGAGCGACGCGTTGGGGAGGAGCGCGAGCAGCGCCTCGACGGTGGGCGCGTCGGCGTTCTCGAGAAACGCGTCGAGGCGCGCCTCCGCGTGCAGCAGCCACCAGCCGGCGCGCTGCAGCCAATCGGAGGCGGCAAACGGCAGCGAGAGCACGGTGGCGGCGGACGCGGACGAGTCGCACGCGGCGCCCTTCACGATCGCGAGCGAGTCGGGCGGGCCGGCGGCGGCGTCGCCTCCGACGAGAAGCGCTTCGACGAGCAGGTTGTAGCTGCCCGTGGCGTTCCTGCGGGGCGGAAAAGAGGGGAGGGGGAGGGCGCGGGAGGGAGAGGAATGGGAATCTGCTGAGCGACGGGGAGGCTCGTAGCACGAGTCGGAGGGAAACGGGTGAACAGTGCCTCCTCGTGCATTCTTTTGCGGCGCATTGCTGGCTCATGAGGATATATTCTCGTTCTTGGTGGGGTTTTCCGCGAGAAGAACGAGAGCGGGGGTGGGTGAAGGCGAGGCTCACTTGAAGACGGCGACGTGGAAGCGGCCGTCAACGAAGGTAGGATCCGCCGAGCAGTTCTTTAGCTGCGTGCCAACGTCCGCCGTCAAATTTCCGACGGCCGTCAGGTTCAACGGCGGACCGCGCGGCTCCCCGCCAGGGCCGCCGCCAGGTCCGTCGCGCCCACCAGGGCCGCCGCCGCGCGCTCCCCCTGGCGGCCCCTGACCGCTGGGCGGGCCTCCGCCAGGCGGGCCGCGCTGCGCGAAGGCGGACGTCACCGCGAGGAGCGCGAAGCGGACGAGAATGAGCGCCCTGGAGGCCATGGGTGGGAGTGGCGAGTATATACGCAAGCTTCGATTCGAGTGCATGACGAGAAGCAGTTTATGATCTAGTTGTGAGAAGAAACTACTGGTCGTTGGGAGGTTGAAGAGGAAGCTGGTGATTGGAAGTCGTCGGCGTTCGACGACCACTTTATAGCTTCGCTTGGTCGACGACTCGACGACTAGTCAACTCCGCAGCTGTCTGTCTTTAGGTACGGCACTACACCTCGCTCGGTAACTTCGGGCTTTGATTGGCTAGACAGAGGTTTACACATGCCGTGCCTTCCAACTGTTTGGTTCGGGGCTTGTCAAAGAACGAAATTCCAACTGTTCGTTCAACGCACGAGTCAGCGCGACGTGGGTGGAGAAAACAGCTGACTCGTTCGTGTAGTGCATACGCGCCATAGCAACAGCTACGCTTGGCGAGGCTCCTTACGCAGAGACGCTGACGCATTAAAGGGGTGCTTTGGTGTGTCTTGCTAACATTTTAAGAATGTTTGCATTCAACTCTGTGCTACAGCATGCTAGCCCTAGCAATCACAGCAGCTACACTCATACATGATCCGCATACATATGATGGCTTGCCAGCACCAAAAGCAGGGTGGCTACAGTGGCAGCAGCAGAAGAGACAAATGGAAGCAAAGAGTCTTCTCGTCTCGTCACTTCCTGGAGGAGGTGGCGTGGTGGCAGAGTGAGCAAGACGCAGCTGTCAGAATCCCAGCCATTTCTGTAGGCGTGGTGGGATGTGGTGTGGAGGCGTGCGGTGTGGTGGGGTGTGGCGTGGAGGCGTGCGGTGTGGTGGGGTGTGGCGTGGAGGCGTGCGGTGTGGTGGGGTGTGGCGTGGAGGCGTGCGGTGTGGTGGGGTGTGGCGTGGAGGCGTGTGGTGTGGTGGGGTGTGGTATGGAATGGGGTCACTTCCTGGTGGAGGCGGCGTGGCGGCGGAGAGCAGCATAGAAAGCCAGGCGCAGCGCAGCAATGAACGCCGCAATCACCACCACGTTGCGCCACGGGCTCAAGCCTGTGAACCCCCGCGCGTCCAGATACGCTGCACCTGTGAGCCCGCACGCCTCGTTGGTGCCGGATGCGGTGTAGCCGACGCCGGCGGCGGGGGAGAAGGTGGAGAAGCAGGTGGGGCCGAGGCCGTGGTGGAACTCGGCCCACAGCAGCAGCTCCATGGGGTAGCGCATGAGGCTCCCGTAGTACAGCCACACCCAGTACGCTGGTATGGCGGACCTGGACGGGGAAGGAAGAGCAGGGATGGCAGGGATGGCAGGGAAGGCAGGGATGGGCTAGTAAAGATGAGCAAAGGGGAAGTGAATGTCAATAGGCAGCGAGCAGGCAGCAGCGAGAGGGCAAAAAATAGACGACAAGGAGGGAGACGGGCAAGAGAGAGGCGGGGAGGGGAGGAGGCTGACTTGGAGAAGAAGAAGCCGCTGAAGAGGAGGAAGAAGGAGAAGGCGCTGCTGGCGACGGTGGCCGCCACCATGTGCGACGGCAGCAGCGCCGACAGCAGCGTCACAAACGCGTTGGCGAGCGCAAAGGCCAGGCACAGCGTGGCGATGAAGACAAGGAAGGCGGAGGCGGAGGGCGCGAGGCCCACCATCCAGTAGAGCGGCGCGGCGAGGGCGAGGGAGAGGAGGAGGAAGAGCGGCAGCGTGGTGAGCGTGGTGGCGAGCACGTAGGGCGCCGTGCGGTACGCGCCTCGTGAGGTCTCCCGCGTGAAGATGGTTCGCTCCTGGTGGAGGGGAAGGAGGGGAAATGGGATGTTTTGTATGAGGTAGGAGTGGGAAGGTGAATGTAGGAGAGGGATGGCTTACACAGTTGCGTGCAAGGTCAACGGTGGAAAGAGGGTCTCACGAGGTAGAAGAGGGGGAGAGCATCAAGTGAGTTGTAGAAGACGAGGGCGATGGTGAAGCCGAGCACGGCAAAGCGGCTCTGCAGCCCCGCCATGTCCCTCCCCACGTGCAGGAACAGCGACCCCATGATCACCCCCATCGCCACCTGCCATGCGCACACATGCAGGTAGTGGGCATGGGAGGGCGGGAAGAAGGTGGTGAGAGCAAGGAAGATTGTGGGTGGGAGAGACGTGCGATGGGAGCGAGGGTGGGGAATGGTGGAGAGGCAGAGAGGGGAGAGGCAGCACGTGGTCAATCCCCCCCATGAGTGCGTGCCGGGCACAGACAGGTGGGGGGGAAGCAGGAGCTGCCTGCTGTGCTGGCAGTGGGGAGGTGAGCATGGAGGGCTGGGACGGAGAGGAAGGCAAGTGCACGCACAAGAAATCAGCGCCAAATGGGAAGGGTGGGAAGGGTGGGAAGTGTGGGCAGAGAGGGAAGGGTGGGCAGGGAGGGAAGGGCGGGCAGGGTGGGAAGGGCGGGCAGGGTGGGAAGGGCGGGCAGGGCTCTTTCTGATTAGCACAAGATGGCGGTGTGAAATGGGAAGGGAGGGAAGGAAGCAACGGACCATGACGAGGAGGCGGGAGAGCAGGAGGTCGGGGCTGCGCAGCAGCACGAGGCAGCAGCGGTGTGTCAATGTCACCGTCTCGCTCAGGGCGCTTGTGGCATACTCCCACTCGCCCACCGCCCTCCCCTCCCCCGCCCTCCCCCCTCCATTGCCCTCTGCCCCACTCCCGCCTGCCTCACTGCTCCCACTGCCCTGCCCCTCGCCCGCAACCCCCAAGCACTGCTTTCCCCCAGCCAGCAGCTTCCCAAGCTGGTGCTTCAGGTTGGCCCCCAGGGAGGGCGCGGCAGGGGGAGCGTCTGTGAGGGCCTCTGACTGCTGACGTGGGGGAGAGGCGAAGGGAGACGGTGCAGAGAAACGGAAGGGCGTGAGATGATGTGCAGGTGGGCAGGTGGGAAGGGCGAAGGAAGGAGGGTAGGAACGATGATGGGCCTCAATGCAGGTGCGTGTGGGCGTGAGTGTGGGGCTGTGTGTGTGATATTGTGTGTGTGCGTGTGTGTGTGCGTGTGCGTATGTGTGTGTGTGTGTGTGTGTGTGTATGTTGTCTGTGCATGTGTATGTGCATGCGTGCGTGTGTGTGCATGCTCCGAGAACCCAGTATGAGCGAGGTTAAAATACTGCATGCATGAACGATGTGCATGCATGTGCATGGAATTGCCACGAGCAGCAGCGATGCTCACCTTGCCACGAGCAGCAGCAGCAGCAGTGATGCGAGGCAGAGTGTCGAGGGCGAACTCCAGGAGGTTCACCTGCCAGCGGGCAACAACCGGTGGCGGGCAACAACGGGTGGCGGGCAACAACGGGTGGCGGGCAACAACGGGTGGCGGGCAACAACGGGTGCAGCACTAGTGTTACTGCACGGCTGCGCACCGTCTTGCGCACAGTCTATGGAACTCCCAGCGCTGCGCACGGTCTTGCAAGAGGGTGGGGGACTGCCGTGCGGAGCAAGCAGGCGCCCTTGGGGCAGTGGGTTCACATCCAAGGGGCATGGGGTGGAGTGCAGTCACATGCCGCAGGGCTCACAGGCACCCCTCATGACTCACATGCGGGGGCACCCCTCGTGACTCACACTCGGGGCACCCCTCGTGACTCACGCTCGGGGCACCCCTCGTGACTCACACTCGGGGCACGGGGTGTGAGAGTCACACGGGGTGGTGCAGCGCTGCAAGGTGGCAGCACAGGGTGGGAGTGGCGCCGTGGAAGGCGAGGGAGCCGCTGATGAGCAGCGCCAGGCGGTGCAGCACACCTTTGAGGCGCCAGGCGGTGCAGCACACCTTTGAGGCGCCAGGCGGTGCAGCACACCTTTGAGGCGCCAGGCGGTGCAGCACACCTTTGAGGCGCCAGGCGGTGCAGCACACCTTTGAGGCGCCAGGCGGTGCAGCACACCTTTGAGGCGCCAGGCGGTGCAGCACACCTTTGAGGCGCCAGGCGGTGCAGCACACCTTTGAGGCGCCAGGCGGTGCAGCACACCTTTGAGGCGCCAGGCGGTGCAGCACACCTTTGAGGCGCCAGGCGGTGCAGCACACCTTTGAGGCGCCAGGCGGTGCAGCACACCTTTGAGGCGCCAGGCGGTGCAGCACACCTTTGAGGCGCCAGGCGGTGCAGCACACCTTTGAGGCGCCAGGCGGTGCAGCACACCTTTGAGGCGCCAGGCGGTGCAGCACACCTTTGAGGCGCCAGGCGGTGCAGCACACCTTTGAGGCGCCAGGCGGTGCAGCACACCTTTGAGGCGCCAGGCGGTGCAGCACACCTTTGAGGCGCCAGGCGGTGCAGCACACCTTTGAGGCGCCAGGCGGTGCAGCACACCTTTGAGGCGCCAGGCGGTGCAGCACACCTTTGAGGCGCCAGGCGGTGCAGCACACCTTTGAGGCGCCTCAAACGGACTCACATGGGGGGGCACGGGGTGGTGCAGGGCAGCGAGGTGGGCGCGCAGGGCGGGCGTGGCGCCGTGGAAGGCGACCTGGCCGGCCACGAGGAGAGCCATGCGGTGCAGCAGCGCTGTGATGCGGAACGACGGCTGGTGGATGGTCAGCACTACCGTGCGCCCGCCCTGTGCGGGGTAGGGGGGAGTGGGGTGCAGAAGGAGGAGGGGAAGGTTAGGCGGGCCTGGAATCGTGGATGGTGAGCAGCACTGTGTGGCTACAGGAAGAAAGAGCGAGCAACGGTGGGAGTGGAGACGATGTGGCTACAGGAGGAGAGAGCGATGTGGCTACAGGAGGAGAGAGCGATGTGGCTACAGGAGGAGAGAGCGATGTGGCTACAGGAGGAGAGAGCGATGTGGCTACAGGAGGAGAGAGCGATGGGGGGAAATACCAGAGTGTGTGTTTGAGAGGTGAGGGTTTGGGTCCATATAAAACCAATCAAGCAAGTTTCCCCTTGCACCCATATCATGGGTGCAGCATGCCATTGAGCTAGAAATTTCCGGGCTTCTTCCTGCCCCGCATGCTGCTTTCCTCCTCCCCACCCCACCAGCCATCTGCTGCAGCAACTTGGTAACAAAAAACAACCACCCGAGGAAACACCTGAGAAAGCACATGAAGCACACCTGAGCACCTGGGGCACACCTGAACGGCCATGTCGTGCAGCAGCTGCACCACCTTGAGCGCCGACGAGCTGTCCAACCCTGCCAGCGCGGTCAGGTGCAGTGAGGGGTGGTGAGGGGCCGTGAGGGGCGAGGCACATGGCACAAGGAGCAAGGAGCGAGCAGGTATGGGTGGCGGAATGGGTGGTGGTGGCAGCAAGGACACGGTAGAGGCAGGAGGACTGATCACAGAGAGCGAGGGGCGGAGAGGGCAAGGAGGACGAGGGAAGGGAGTGGACCTGAGGTGGGTTCATCGAGCAGCAGCACGGCGGGGTTGTGAATGAGCTCCACCCCGATGGACGTGCGCCGCCTCTCCCCGCCTGACACCCCCCGGTGCTGTGTCGGGACAGGGGTGGCAGATGGGCGTGGCGAGAGAGGGTCGAGAGAGAGGGTAGGGAGTGAGGTTGGGGAGAGGGGAAGATGGGGGTGAGCAGACACATGATAGACAGGGTTGATGGAGGGGGGTGGAAGAGAGGAGGGGGGATGGTATGTGAAATTGAGAAGCAAGCATGCATGGCAGTGCGGCAGCGGAGGTCAGGTGGGCATGGTGAGGTCGCGGCGAGGAGGGGTGGGGTGTGTGTGACGCCCCAAAGTGGTAAGCAATCACTCTCATTCAGCCTACACGAACCAAGTGCCACCCACCCACCCGCTCGCCCCACCCACCCGCTCGCCCCACCCACCCGCTCGCCCCACCCACCCGCTCGCCCCACCCACCCGCTCGCCCCACCCACCCGCTCGCCCCACCCACCTGCTCGCCCCACCCACCCGGTCGTCCCCCACGGGCGTGTCGGCGCACGCGGTGAGCCCCAGCTGCTGCAGCAGCTGCTGCACTCGCTGCTGCCGCGCAGCTGGCGTCACGGTGGCCGGCAGGCGCAGGCGGGCGGCGAAGTCGAGAGTCTCACGCACGGAGAGGAGGGCGAAGAGAGCATCGTCCTGGTGGGGGGGAGGTGGGGGACGGAAAGAGAAGTTGGGGCAGGGGGCAGGATCGTTTGCTACGAGGTCAGGAGCACACAGCACGGCCAGCCAGAGGATGAACCACACCCACCCACCTGCAGTCCACCCAGGCACCCAGCTGCACCACGCCACACCCACCCACTTGCACAAACCCATCTGTACCACACGAAACCCACCTGCAGCACGTAGGCGGAGTGCTTGCGGAAGCTGGGCGGCATGGGGCGGCCGTTCACCAGGATGGACCCCGACAAGCTGCCCGGGTCGATGCGGCAGCCAATGGCGTCCAGCAGTGACGTTTTTCCGCTGCCCGAGGGCCCTGCCAGCGCGAGCAGCTGCCCGGGATAAGCCGCCACGCTCACTCGGTTCAGAATCGTGCGCCCATTGGCGGCCTGAGGGTGGGGTGGGAGAGAGGGGGAACGGGGGATGGGGGAAGAAGTAGAGGCGTGGATGAGAGATAGAGGCAAGGGTGGTGTAATGGGTGTGGAGCAGTGCCAACAGAACAGCCTCTCTCTCCATCCCCACGCGCCCCTCCTCACCTCCCCACACCCTACCCGCGCTCACACTCTCCCCACCTACCGTGTAAGAGAGGTCCTTGGTGCGCACATGGAACTGCTGCACCCCCCGCCCCTCACCCCCGCCCTCCCCCCCCCCACCACCATCCCACCACGCAGCACCGTCGCCTGCAGCACCCCTGTAATGGTCCACAGCAGCAGCAGCAGCAGCAGCAGCAGAATCTTCAGCAGCAGCAGCAGCAGCAGCAGCAGCAGCAGCAGCGGAGGAGGCAGGGGTCATGATGATGGGCGACCCAAACGGCCGCCTCGTGCCGCTCATGCTCATGCCGCTGCGTATCTCACCGCTGACGTCACTGCTGATGTCCGTGGTGACGTCACTGCTGGTGTCAGCAGCCAGCTCAATCCACGGCTGCGCGGGAGAGACAGGCGAGGCAGGCGGGGCGGAGGACACGGAGGAGACAGAGGAGGAGGCGGAAACGGCGGAGGCGGCAGATACGGCGGCGGACGCAGCATGGACGTGGTCGTGGGCGTGGGTGTGGCGCATGACAGCGGCGCATGCCGCCACGTAGTCCTCGCACATGCGCGCGCCCTCCCCTGCCCGCCCTGCGCGGCCCCCCGCGCTGTCTTCCTCGCTATGGGCGTATCCGTTAAGAGCCCCCTCCGCGCCAGGCGACGCATCAGGGGACGCGTAAGGCGACGCGTCTGCGGCGCACGGAAAGGGGTCGTCGGCCGTGGGGGCGGCGGGGGCGGCGGGGTCGACGAGCGGGGTGAGCGAGGGGGTGGGCGACGCGAACGACGCGAAGCACGCGAGGTGCCGCGCGGCGGGAAAGCGGTGCCGCGAAGCCATCGCCGCGAGACGCGGGGTGCGTGGCAACAGCGCTGCGAGGGCGCGAGCGCCGACAGGGGCGGGAAAGCAGCGGTTATCTACTATCCAAGTCTAGCAAGCCGCTGTTGCGATTGCGAGCAGGGCAGTCCGACGAGTACGATTTAAGTGTGGGCGTCCTATTGTTCGGTCGAGCAGGGATACGAAGGGTGGGAAGCTGAGAAGACGCGAGAAAGCGGCGGAAAATCAGTCCTGCTGCGGTGCTCCAAGGGCCTTGATCTGTCTCGCCGCGGCACAAGCACGACAACACGAGCGGCGGCCAGCACAGCAATGGACAAGCGCGCTTCTCTATTTCCGATGTGCGCAGCGAGCAGCGAGTGGAGTCGTCCCGCGCCATCCGTACCACGCGCCCTCCGCATTCTCCCGCCCCTCCTCGCCGTCCCGTCGCCCATATTCCGCCCCCTCGCCAACGAAAAGCCAACACCTACGAGAGCGACGGAGAAGGACGGAGGGCGACGTGAGGGCGTGGCGGCATCAGACGGAGGCGGGCTGACCAACTCCCACCAGCGCCTAGCGGGGTGGCGCGTCGCCGCTCACCCGTCAGAGGCCCGCCAACGGCGCACCCGTCGCACTCAGAGACGGAACGGCGGAGCATCGTGGAAAGCAACGTCGCAGGCTGGCGGGGAGTTGGGCTGCCCGTCGCCTGGCGGGAGGCGTATGAGGGAGGTGTGTGGTCGGGCATGCTGCGCTGGAGGCCTGTCGCAATCCGCGACGGCGACTGGTGGGTAAGGCTCTGGTTCGCCTCGATAGTGACGACGAGGCGACTAGCGGAGTCGCGCTGAGGAGCGATGGGGCCGGGGGGAGGACAAGGGGGGGTCGAATGGTGATCGGATGTGTCGCCGTGACAGGCAACAGTCAAATCAGTTATGCTCCGATACAAGCAGCTCGGAGGTGTCGTCAATCTAGCAATATTCGGAAGACAGCTTGCAATTGCCTTTACAATATCGTATCAGGTACCTAATTATTTTTTCGCCCATATTTGTTCTCGATTACAGTATTTATACGAAAAAAGAGATGTAGGATTAACCAGTTTTTTTAATAATTCTGAACCTGACCAGGCAACACACAATAGTATCACAGGTAAGGAAAAACATTCTACATAATATTGTAACTTGGTCGTTCTACATTTTCCCTTCGGATGTATCAAACGGGACGTATCAAGTAGTTGAATCCAGTTCCCGATTCCAGAACAGCCACCCCTACGACTGCCTTTTACGCGTTAGTTTATTCGTTGCCAGTCCCCCCTTCCTCGCTACAGTCACCCAGGCGAAACGCGTTTCCGTACGTCCACGTGTGCAGCATGAGTTGTCAATGAGGAGCCGCGATGATTCACCAAGCGCACCAGCCATGGGTCGCCATCTCCGCTAAGCGCCCGGGCCTCTGGCGCCCCGCGGACGCCGCCATGCCGTCCGCCAAGGCCGCCAGCCCCGGCGCCAAGCCGCTATCGCGCGGGCGTTGGCGGTCGGTGGGCGAGCGGTGGACGTGCGGCGCGATGGCGGCGGCGCAGATGGGCGTCGCGCTGCTGCTGTTGGCGGTCGCCGCCACCTCGCTGCTCCTCCTCGGCTGCATCCGCCTCCCCAACCGCCAGGTGCCCCGCGCTCTCCCCTTTCTCCCCTCCCCTTCCCCTCTCTTCCACCCTCCCTTCCCCTTCGTCTCCCCCCACCCTCCCCCTCTCCCTCTCCCCGGCCACCCTCCTCCAATGTGTGCTCCGCACGTTGATCGTCTCTCCTCCCCTACCTCCCCTTTTTTCCCTCACGATTCCGCGCTTCTGCATTTCACCAGCAACACCACGCTGCCTCTGACCCAACCCTCCCGCTTTCCCCCCCCCCCCTGCTTCTCTTCCCCCCACCCGCCTTGTTCCCCTTCCCCCCGTTCATCCCGCCTGCCATAACTGTCAATCCTCTCGCGCACCTCAACTATCCACCCCAACCCGCCGCCACCCGTCCTTCCCGCCCCCATGCGCCCCCACCCCTCTCATCCGCCCCCATGCGCCGTGCGCGCACACCCATCCACGGGGGGCCGTGTGAGTGCGGCAGGCGGGGTGGAGTGTGGAGCTGCCGCACGAGCCACACGAGCCCAGCGCCAACTGCTCCTCCACCAACCCCACCGTCGTCGTCAAGGCACGCCCCTTCCCTCCCCCTCCCCTCCCCAACCATGTTCTCTCGTCCTTACTCTCCGCACCATGCATTCTCCCCATCACTGCCCCATTCCCCTCCTCTCCCCCCCCCCTCATGCTCCCCACAATGCCGTGTTCCCGCGCGCAAGCCGCAATACGACTATGGCCCCGAAGCTTCCACCTCCGCCTCACACCCCCATCCGATGCACGCCCTTGTGCCCTCGTGCCATGCCGTCTTGCCCTCTTGCTCACCCCCGTTTCCACATAATCCACCTGCCGCCCCACTCTGCACCATTGCCACCTTCTTCCTCCCTTCCTCCCCCGGTGTCCCCTTGATCCCCCCTCCCCCCCCCTTATACAGACGAATCTATGGTACTCGGACCGCCCGTTCCACGTGCCGCCAGTGTTCCCCCTGTGCACCATGGACGCCTGCTTCAACTTCTCGCGCTGCCCCTCCCCACCCGCCCACGAGCCCCTCGTGTACTCCTACTGGCCCGGCACCAAGTACTTTGCCACATTCAACACCACCAGGTGAGGCTTTGCCGCTGCCAGGTGCGGATTCCATGCAGCCAGGGGCTCATTTGATACCTCCAGGCTCCAGCTGCTAATTTGGTCCCATCAGGAGCTGCTCAGGTGCTCTTCTGAGATTTCCACTGCCTCTATTCTTCAGCATCATCCCTTTCATCCTACTATCATCCCTTTCTCCTACCATCCCCATGCCTTACCACCATCACCACCACCACCACCATCCCATGCCCCCACACACCCTCCACACACCCTCCACACGCCCTCCACACGGTGGCATGCGCGAGGCAGGTGGCACACAGACGACCCAGGCAAGGCGTGTTTCTTCTTTGTGTTCCTGTCCGCGGGGCAGCCCCGCCACTTCAAGGACCTGCCCTTCTGGGGCGAGGACGGCCACAACCACGTGCTCATCAGGTGCCATGTGCTTATCAGGTCAGACTCACATGCTCATCAGGTGACTTGCTTATAATAATGTGACAGGCACCGTGTGCTGATAGAGTGACATGTGCTCGTACGGTGGCTTGCTTATAACGGAAGCCATCATGTTCTTGTAAGGTGACAGCCATGTGTTTATAAGGCGATGTTCACTTCAGTGATGTCCATAGGTGGCAAACACAAGCCTATATGCAAAGGAGGATCTCCATTCGTCTGTCCCTGCTGCACCACGCTGCTTCCATCTTCCACTCACTCCACCACTGCCCCACTCCCCTCCTCTCATGCCTCACCACCGCAGCCCGCGCCCCTCAGATCTCCCTCCTCCTCTCCCCTGCACCCCCCCTTTTCAAGCAGCTTCTCGGACAACTGGAGCGGCCCACCGGCGTGGAGTGTGGGCAAGGCGGCGCTCATGCTCACAGCAGCGCACCTCACCGTGCACCGCGCAGCCTTCGACGTCTCGCTGCCGCTGCCGCCCACCTGGAAGCGCCACGCTGCCGGCCTGCGGCCACTGCCGGTGGGGAAGCGGCGGTACCTGGTGACGTTCATGGGCACGCGCTACCTGGGCTCCATGCACGGCAGCTTCCGTAGCTCCAACGAGTTCAAGGCGCTGCACAACGGGAGGGACATCATTGTTGTCACTCAGTGCGGGTGCGTGGATGCATGGGTGATGGGGATACTCACACGCGCCACTCCCACACACATGGAAAGAACAACCGAGTTACCGACAATTCAGTGTCACAATGCGTCAGTCAGTGGCGCTACATGGTGACGTGCTTGGGCGCGCAGTGGGTACGTGGGGACCATACATGGCAGCTGTCCGTAGCTCGGAAGAGGTGAAGGAGTTGCATAAGGGGAAGGGCATCATTGTTGTCACTCAGTGCGGGTGCGTGGATGCATGGGCAGTGGGGGGCGTGAGTGGCACACAATGATGGTGTGCAAGTGGATGGATGTGCTCTCTTACAATTCTCAAACAACACATTCACCCTCACATTCCCCTCCCTCGTTTTATAGTGTCTTGGCGTTTACCAAAAAGGTTCCGTAACCTTTTGGACATCATCGTTGTCACGCAGTGCGGGTGAGTGGAGCAGTGCGGGTGAGTGGAGCAGTGCGGGTGAGTGGAGCAGTGCGGGTGAGTGGAGCAGTGCGGGTGAGTGGAGCAGTGCGGGTGAGTGGAGCAGTGCGGGTGAGTGGAGCAGTGCGGGTGAGTGGAGCAGTGCGGGTGAGTGGAGCAGTGCGAGTGAGTGGAGCAGTGCGGGTGAGTGGGGCAGTGCAGGTGAGTGGATGGATAGGCAGTGGGGTGTGCTCACAGTCACATGGAGACAAGAGCAGATTTGCCAGCCGGGTCTCACAATATCTCACCTCATGCCCTCCGTCCGCCACACCTATCCCGCGCCACTTCACCCCACATGCTGCTGCCCGTGCAACTCGTTCAAAACTCCTCCCTCACACCACCCCCTGTCGCAGCCAGAGGCTCAGCGAACCGGAGGATAACCGAGGAGGACTTGCCGCTGCTGCACGAGTGCCTTTCCAGGCGCCTCAAAAGTCAACTGCTTCACTCACCCCCCACCCCCTGTGTGGATTAGGGGCTCCACAAACCGGCGCATAATCTCGGAGGACCCGTCGCTGCTGCCCGAGTGCAACGCGGACTTGGCGCTCTTCCGCACCTTCTCCTACCCCGCCCTCATGAACACCTCCTTTGCCCTCGTCCCCGCTGGCCGCCAGGCCTCCACCTACCGCTTCATCGAGGTGGGTGCGGGGGGGTGGGTGGGTGGGTGGTTGGTGGGTCGTCCGTGGTGATGCAGGGAAGAGGGTGATGCAGGGAAAAGGGTGATGCAGGGAAGTGGGTGATGCAGGGAAGTGGGTGATGCAGGGAAGTGGGTGGCCAAATGTGCCCATGAAGTCAGTCACAGGGCATGGCTCCATGGTGCAAGGCATGTCAGGTATGACGTGTTCACTTGATGCAACCTCGTCACGTCGTCCACATGCCCGGGCATGTGATCAATCCAGACACCGCTTCTTATGCCAGGATCAATCCAGACACCGCTTCTTATGCCAGGATCAATCCAGACACCGCTTCTTATGCCAGGATCAATCCAGACACCGCTTCTTATGCCAGGATCAATCCAGACACCGCTTCTTATGCCAGGATCAATCCAGACACCGCTTCTTATGCCAGGATCAATCCAGACACCGCTTCTTATGCCAGGATCAATCCAGACACCGCTTCTTATGCCAGGATCAATCCAGACACCGCTTCTTATGCCAGGATCAATCCAGACACCGCTTCTTATGCCAGGATCAATCCAGACACCGCTTCTTATGCCAGGATCAATCCAGACACCGCTTCTTATGCCAGGATCAATCCAGACACCGCTTCTTATGCCAGGATCAATCCAGACACCGCTTCTTATGCCAGGATCAATCCAGACACCGCTTCTTATGCCAGGATCAATCCAGACACCGCTTCTTATGCCAGGATCAATCCAGACACCGCTTCTTATGCCAGGATCAATCCAGACACCGCTTCTTATGCCAGGATCAATCCAGACACCGCTTCTTATGCCAGGATCAATCCAGACACCGCTTCTTATGCCAGGATCAATCCAGACACCGCTTCTTATGCCAGGATCAATCCAGACACCGCTTCTTATGCCAGGATCAATCCAGACACCGCTTCTTATGCCAGGATCAATCCAGACACCGCTTCTTATGCCAGGATCAATCCAGACACCGCTTCTTATGCCAGGATCAATCCAGACACCGCTTCTTATGCCAGGATCAATCCAGACACCGCTTCTTATGCCAGGATCAATCCAGACACCGCTTCTTATGCCAGGATCAATCCAGACACCGCTTCTTATGCCAGGATCAATCCAGACACCGCTTCTTATGCCAGGATCAATCCAGACACCGCTTCTTATGCCAGGATCAATCCAGACACCGCTTCTTATGCCAGGATCAATCCAGACACCGCTTCTTATGCCAGGATCAATCCAGACACCGCTTCTTATGCCAGGATCAATCCAGACACCGCTTCTTATGCCAGGATCAATCCAGACACCGCTTCTTATGCCAGGATCAATCCAGACACCGCTTCTTATGCCAGGATCAATCCAGACACCGCTTCTTATGCCAGGATCAATCCAGACACCGCTTCTTATGCCAGGATCAATCCAGACACCGCTTCTTATGCCAGGATCAATCCAGACACCGCTTCTTATGCCAGGATCAATCCAGACACCGCTTCTTATGCCAGGATCAATCCAGACACCGCTTCTTATGCCAGGATCAATCCAGACACCGCTTCTTATGCCAGGATCAATCCAGACACCGCTTCTTATGCCAGGATCAATCCAGACACCGCTTCTTATGCCAGGATCAATCCAGACACCGCTTCTTATGCCAGGATCAATCCAGACACCGCTTCTTATGCCAGGATCAATCCAGACACCGCTTCTTATGCCAGGATCAATCCAGACACCGCTTCTTATGCCAGGATCAATCCAGACACCGCTTCTTATGCCAGGATCAATCCAGACACCGCTTCTTATGCCAGGATCAATCCAGACACCGCTTCTTATGCCAGGATCAATCCAGACACCGCTTCTTATGCCAGGATCAATCCAGACACCGCTTCTTATGCCAGGATCAATCCAGACACCGCTTCTTATGCCAGGATCAATCCAGACACCGCTTCTTATGCCAGGATCAATCCAGACACCGCTTCTTATGCCAGGATCAATCCAGACACCGCTTCTTATGCCAGGATCAATCCAGACACCGCTTCTTATGCCAGGATCAATCCAGACACCGCTTCTTATGCCAGGATCAATCCAGACACCGCTTCTTATGCCAGGATCAATCCAGACACCGCTTCTTATGCCAGGATCAATCCAGACACCGCTTCTTATGCCAGGATCAATCCAGACACCGCTTCTTATGCCAGGATCAATCCAGACACCGCTTCTTATGCCAGGATCAATCCAGACACCGCTTCTTATGCCAGGATCAATCCAGACACCGCTTCTTATGCCAGGATCAATCCAGACACCGCTTCTTATGCCAGGATCAATCCAGACACCGCTTCTTATGCCAGGATCAATCCAGACACCGCTTCTTATGCCAGGATCAATCCAGACACCGCTTCTTATGCCAGGATCAATCCAGACACCGCTTCTTATGCCAGGATCAATCCAGACACCGCTTCTTATGCCAGGATCAATCCAGACACCGCTTCTTATGCCAGGATCAATCCAGACACCGCTTCTTATGCCAGGATCAATCCAGACACCGCTTCTTATGCCAGGATCAATCCAGACACCGCTTCTTATGCCAGGATCAATCCAGACACCGCTTCTTATGCCAGGATCAATCCAGACACCGCTTCTTATGCCAGGATCAATCCAGACACCGCTTCTTATGCCAGGATCAATCCAGACACCGCTTCTTATGCCAGGATCAATCCAGACACCGCTTCTTATGCCAGGATCAATCCAGACACCGCTTCTTATGCCAGGATCAATCCAGACACCGCTTCTTATGCCAGGATCAATCCAGACACCGCTTCTTATGCCAGGATCAATCCAGACACCGCTTCTTATGCCAGGATCAATCCAGACACCGCTTCTTATGCCAGGATCAATCCAGACACCGCTTCTTATGCCAGGATCAATCCAGACACCGCTTCTTATGCCAGGATCAATCCAGACACCGCTTCTTATGCCAGGATCAATCCAGACACCGCTTCTTATGCCAGGATCAATCCAGACACCGCTTCTTATGCCAGGATCAATCCAGACACCGCTTCTTATGCCAGGATCAATCCAGACACCGCTTCTTATGCCAGGATCAATCCAGACACCGCTTCTTATGCCAGGATCAATCCAGACACCGCTTCTTATGCCAGGATCAATCCAGACACCGCTTCTTATGCCAGGATCAATCCAGACACCGCTTCTTATGCCAGGATCAATCCAGACACCGCTTCTTATGCCAGGATCAATCCAGACACCGCTTCTTATGCCAGGATCAATCCAGACACCGCTTCTTATGCCAGGATCAATCCAGACACCGCTTCTTATGCCAGGATCAATCCAGACACCGCTTCTTATGCCAGGATCAATCCAGACACCGCTTCTTATGCCAGGATCAATCCAGACACCGCTTCTTATGCCAGGATCAATCCAGACACCGCTTCTTATGCCAGGATCAATCCAGACACCGCTTCTTATGCCAGGATCAATCCAGACACCGCTTCTTATGCCAGGATCAATCCAGACACCGCTTCTTATGCCAGGATCAATCCAGACACCGCTTCTTATGCCAGGATCAATCCAGACACCGCTTCTTATGCCAGGATCAATCCAGACACCGCTTCTTATGCCAGGATCAATCCAGACACCGCTTCTTATGCCAGGATCAATCCAGACACCGCTTCTTATGCCAGGATCAATCCAGACACCGCTTCTTATGCCAGGATCAATCCAGACACCGCTTCTTATGCCAGGATCAATCCAGACACCGCTTCTTATGCCAGGATCAATCCAGACACCGCTTCTTATGCCAGGATCAATCCAGACACCGCTTCTTATGCCAGGATCAATCCAGACACCGCTTCTTATGCCAGGATCAATCCAGACACCGCTTCTTATGCCAGGATCAATCCAGACACCGCTTCTTATGCCAGGATCAATCCAGACACCGCTTCTTATGCCAGGATCAATCCAGACACCGCTTCTTATGCCAGGATCAATCCAGACACCGCTTCTTATGCCAGGATCAATCCAGACACCGCTTCTTATGCCAGGATCAATCCAGACACCGCTTCTTATGCCAGGATCAATCCAGACACCGCTTCTTATGCCAGGATCAATCCAGACACCGCTTCTTATGCCAGGATCAATCCAGACACCGCTTCTTATGCCAGGATCAATCCAGACACCGCTTCTTATGCCAGGATCAATCCAGACACCGCTTCTTATGCCAGGATCAATCCAGACACCGCTTCTTATGCCAGGATCAATCCAGACACCGCTTCTTATGCCAGGATCAATCCAGACACCGCTTCTTATGCCAGGATCAATCCAGACACCGCTTCTTATGCCAGGATCAATCCAGACACCGCTTCTTATGCCAGGATCAATCCAGACACCGCTTCTTATGCCAGGATCAATCCAGACACCGCTTCTTATGCCAGGATCAATCCAGACACCGCTTCTTATGCCAGGATCAATCCAGACACCGCTTCTTATGCCAGGATCAATCCAGACACCGCTTCTTATGCCAGGATCAATCCAGACACCGCTTCTTATGCCAGGATCAATCCAGACACCGCTTCTTATGCCAGGATCAATCCAGACACCGCTTCTTATGCCAGGATCAATCCAGACACCGCTTCTTATGCCAGGATCAATCCAGACACCGCTTCTTATGCCAGGATCAATCCAGACACCGCTTCTTATGCCAGGATCAATCCAGACACCGCTTCTTATGCCAGGATCAATCCAGACACCGCTTCTTATGCCAGGATCAATCCAGACACCGCTTCTTATGCCAGGATCAATCCAGACACCGCTTCTTATGCCAGGATCAATCCAGACACCGCTTCTTATGCCAGGATCAATCCAGACACCGCTTCTTATGCCAGGATCAATCCAGACACCGCTTCTTATGCCAGGATCAATCCAGACACCGCTTCTTATGCCAGGATCAATCCAGACACCGCTTCTTATGCCAGGATCAATCCA